CCCCCCCCCCCCCCCCCCCACCCCACACACACACACACACACCTTTCTACCTTTTATATAAAAATTTTGATTTTAAGTTACAGTACCAAAAATAAATTTATCTTTACCGCACATGCGCGCACAGTATCCAGAGTCAGTAATTATATAATCGCTCCTTCTTTGGAGATTCGTCTCTTACTGAAAGAAGAAGCCAGTAGGGTCATACTTTTCTTTCCAGGCCTACCCTAGCTCCCACATGTAACTTTCTCCCTTTTAGTCATTTAATTACTGAGTTTGCCTCACCATTTTGTGTGTGAATGTCCTGTCCTGTCCATTAAACTAGACTGATAAGATCCGCAAAGTTGTAGATATTTGCCCAAGACCAAAAGTATCAGGGGTGACAGAATATACTCTGGCAAATTCGTTACATTAGTAAGGGTTTCTGTTAATAATTCGACCAAATAAGCATGTACAAAGATGCCGACGAGCACCAATACAGAAGAAGACTCGACTGAAATGCCTATAAATAAACCATTGTTGTAAACACGCCTGAATGACTATGATATAGGTATGCGTCTCTGGTTATGCTGACTATACGTTCAACATGTTAATCACAGTGATAAACAAGAAATACCTTCAGTTTACGTACTGTAACATAAAATGTATTCATTACCGGGTGCGGCCGTGTCATGTCTACATTCAGGTGTCGTGAATTCGGTGTGTGTTATTCACACACCGTCACAACAAGTAGTTGCAAACGCTTTCAGCTCCTGAAATCAAAGACAAGGTGGAGGAAATTCACTCACGTGTTGCTGGTTCGATATCTAGAAGTATAAGAGACCGCGCCGAGATGTCACATCCAGGTTGTCGGCGCGGTTACCGGTCTAAGGGAGATAACTCTAACCAAAATTCACCACACTCTTCCCCGTTTTATGAAGGCCCTCTCTTGAGGTTGGAAGCTGCTGAGCAGGAATCATGAGGTGGTCTTTCTTGAAGTAGCAGATGCTGGAGATGATTGTTCTCTTGTGGATTTGGACAAGGTCGGGTCACCCCTTAAGCATGAGGGACCCTTAGCAGGAACACAGTTTCACCGTGCCCAGAAGTGGAAGTTCGGGCCCATACTTCATAGATCTAATTCTGTTGGTGGGCTTAACTTTAAAGTGCCCTCCTCCAAGGTACAGGACCATTAAAGATATAAACTTTATGGTTGGCATAGGCATACTGTGCCCTTGCCAGGTACTCAGACATGTAAACGTATTTGAATATGTCTGATGGTGTCAAAAGTGGAAGAATGCCCTCCACTTGTATACTGACTGTGACAGAGAGCTGATAACACAATCCCACCCCTGAGCAGATAACCGCTCAAGGGGCCGATCCCTCACAGTTTCCGGAGACGGTTGAGCAGAAAACCACTCTGTCTCTAAAGGCCCGGAGGCTGCCTGAGAGGCAGAGAACCGTCTCTTTCTGAACCTCCGTATTGATAGCTGACTTAAATATAGCTTTTGATTAAAAGCTGTCTCCCAGCTGTACGATGTGATCCCATTTACCTGGGTCACAAAAACACTAAGGGATTTTTACTGTCCTTGCTCTTATTACTAAACCTAAGAACACAGCAGTGCCGTGTAATTTATCAACTATGAAAGTATTGCCTAGTCACCCCCACACCAGTCTAGTCAACTTTTGGGGTGCTCTAGTATACCAAGCTGTGCCGGTGAGTACCCCACCCGAGTGGGTTACAGCGCTATCGCTATCAGATTGCTCC